AGGGTAAGCCTGATTCTAAGGTAAAATAATTGAAGTTGAAGCCATACACATTTGGCTATGTATTATATTTGCATATAAATGTAATTTAATCTACTGCAGCAGTGTCATGTGCATGCTGATCACTGCTATAGCTTACCAACCGATAGCTGACAGCTCTTGCATATCCGCTGATAGCCGCAGTACATAGTGCAGTGCTGCTGTAGAGGTTAAAAAATAAATGGGAAAAAACCCAAACAGAAGTAATTGGAGTTGGTTTTGCTTTCAGATTCAACAAGCAAAGTTCTATGAAAACATCATGAAAATTCTGAGACCTAAACCAGACTATTTTGCTGTTGGGTATTATGGCCAAGGATTCCCCACATTTCTAAGGGTAAACCTGTTTAAATTCTTACTTTTTCATCTGTTTTCATATGCTTCTAAAAATATGAGTGTACTCTACTAATGCAAGTGAATATCTGGGGATATTTGCCATGGATTTTGTTTTGCTTGGGTGCGGGACTGTACTCAGAATCTGAATTGTTACTTCTAAGAATATGCATTAAATGTTTTCAGATGCATTTCAGTTGATTCTTCCTCTTGGTTTGATTGTGGAAACTAGAAGATATATCAGGTAGTGAAGGTGATATATGAGATCCAAGCGCAGGAATATGATGTCATTTGATATGGACGGCTCTTTATGGTACATATTCCTCAGTGAGTCCCCACACAGGTTATTGATAACTAGCAGAATGTCATTAACTAACATGTTCAAATTAAATCAAAGATTCTGTTTCACATGAGCTTGGTATTTTCAGTGAACCTTGTCATGGACTGACAAGAGTTTCAGATTGATATTGCCTCTTGGCTACAACTGAAATACACTACGAATATAGAAACAGCATATTTTTCAGACCAATGCTCTCTATAGCCAAATACTGTGTCTTTAACAGTGGGAGACAGTAGATAAGGAGATTAGGGAAGAGTATAGTTTAGTATAGGGCAGGTGTGCAGTGATATTGACCGGTATAGATTCCCTACTTACCTGATAAACAGCTTCCTGGGTTGGAGGTGATACTTTGTTTTCTAGCCCTTCGTGGATTGTTCTATGGTGAATCTGTCCAGTTGCTTTCTGAACTGATGCCCTCCAGAACACACTGAATTCGTTCAGTGTGATACTTTGTTTTCCTGTTTTCCTCAATGACTGAAGTTCAGATTGCTTTTTTGATCACGAATGTGCATTGAGCTGATGTGTTCATACTAACTGCCTTGTGTTACTCCAAGTTTTTTCCTGAATGGTAACAGCTAGTTGACAGCTTAGGACAATTATGGTAAGTTTGAACTGTTTTGATTAAATAGACCTCTGTACACTGAATGTACTCTGTTTTCTTTACTTTCTCCATTTTTGACTACAATGTGAGAAATCAAAAATCCAAAGGGTCTGATTTTCAAGAAACCTGTCCAATTTAGGAAGTCATGCATAACTGGCCTTTAGTTTATTAAAGATCATTGTGTTCTTTTAACCACAGTAGTGCACGTCTTCAGAGCATAAGACTAACCTGAATATTTGATGTTTTCATGTAGAAAAACAATCTTTTCTTATGTACTACAATGAATATGGTAGCTCTCCTCACACTTTAAAAGCAATTTCCCCTGTTTTAAAGGCCAAAGTTGCCTTGAAAACATTGGAAAAAATAGTGAAAAGATTTGCTAATATTACACCAAAGGAAGCATGCACCCTTTGTTTCTGGTATTATAGAAGTATCCAGTTAAATGAAGCAAACTGAACCACAAATGAGCACATTTGGTATTAGACTGTACTGTAAATGAGGACATTTCATAATACCAAGGGGAAGGAGCAGGCAGAGGAAACCTATGTATTGGTACCAGAAAGCTGTGAAACCCTGACCCAGAATGTATTTGAAAGCAAATCCTTTTACTTGACAGATAAGCAAAAAAGGAATTTCAGTACCTTTCTTACCTCCCATTCTTATTTTATTCTGCTCTGTGATGATGCCAGTTTATCTTCATTCTGTCTAACAGCATGGAGTATCATCTCTGGAGAGTCAGTGCTGCATTCCAGCACCTGCTCAAAGGGGTACCTTGCTTCATAGTTAATTGATATTCAGAAAACAGTAACACTAATTCCAAAAATTGGAGAGCCTCTTGTGACTTTGTACTGATAAACGTGCATCTATGACTTCTGCCTCAGCATCATACAGCCCAAGAAAACAGCTGTTTATTCCTTGCAGAACAAAGTTTTCATCTATCGTGGGAAGGAATATGAGAGGAGAGAGGATTTCCAGGCACAGCTGATGAGTCAGTTTCCCAGTGCAGAGATGATGAACACCACCTCAGCACCTGGAGAGGATGTGAAAAACTCCCCTGGTCAATGTATCCTTGAACACATGGCAGATTACAGAATGAAGGCAGGAAACCTTGTTTTTAGCAGGAGTTTATCTGTGTGGAACAATAATTTCCTAAAAAGGATGAAAGTTTATTCATGTGGCATCTCAGTTTGCAGGGGTTTTTTTGGTGCTTTGCGGGTTTGTTTTTTTTTTTGCACTTACATGCCCTGAATGTTTTTTATGGTTTGTTCCTAAGATGTTTGCTTCTGTTTTTCTCACAATTCTAACGAGTCTGTCTCTTTCAGTCATTACAGAATCATAGAATTTAGAAGACCCTTAAAATGGAGTCCAATTGTAAATCTAACACTGGCAAGTGAACCACTACACCATGTCTCTATGTGCTATGTCTACACGTCTTTTAAATACCTCCAGGGATGGTGACTCAGCCACTTCCCTGGGTACCCCTGTCTCAGTGCTTGACAACCCTTTCAGTGAAGAAAATTCATTCAAGTTCATCCATGGTTTAACTTTATTTTCTTCAAATGGCAAAACCAGTGATGAACACCTGAACTGGCTAAGTTTAAAGCAGCAAATTATCTATTACCTCACATTCCTAGCTGTTGTGTCTTGATATTAAATTCATGTCTTTCTTGAACATTGTTCTCACTGGCATTGCACCTGGGTATCCCCTGTATTTCTTGACAATACAAATATGCCTTATGTCACTCTCAGAAATTTTCCCAGGAAAATGAACTCCTAAACATCATTAACCACCTTTCAGAACGCCCTAAATCATTCTTGTTTGGAAGTACTCTAACAGTTGCTTGCACTCATTATGTTCTTCTTCATGCTCTGATTTGAACAATTACTGGCTGAGCAGATACAAGATCACCTCATTGTATCTGACTTTTTTTTCATGTGTTGATTTTCATTTATTAATTTTCAAGGTAATATTGTAACATGCTCTCTTGAGTCTATTCTGATGGACCCTGCTGGAGGAGAAAAGAAATACTGGTTGCTTTTCACACTGCTGGGACTGAAGCACAGAGTATTACAGGCTTGGCTAAAACAGTACATTAGGCTTGAGACCCAAACTCTCATAAGTCTGTCTTGTGTCTTAACTAATTTTCATTTTTTTAATATCATATGGTTCAGTCCCCAAGGTAGAATTTGCTCAAGTCTACTTGCAACTAACAGGAGCTATGCACTACTTATACATTTAAGAAAAAGCTACAGAATCTATCCAGAGGGCGTGAGTTTCAAACATACTGCTTAAAGCTAAATAGTGAAACTGTTAACAATATCAACAACATCAGATGCTGGCTTGTCTTTAAAATTTAATGAATAACTCAGTGTGATAAATTCAGCTACACATATTCAAGATCAGTAAATAATAAAAATATGCGGTTCCAAATTAATATTAATATATATTCACTGGTTGCTGCTGGCAGATTTTTCCTTTTCTGGCCAAGAAAGCTCCACAAATGAAACCCTGAATCCTGCAGATTTTTCATCAGGAAATGTCTTTTTTATTATTACTATTACTTCTATATTCCCTGCAGCCTACAGTATTTCATACTGATAGTTAATAACATGCCCTTAACTCTCATGATTTCAGATATCCAGTGTTTTACAGTGCAGCCAGTCCTGGAGGAACAGCCTAGATTCAAAAATAAGGCAGTACCTGATCAAATTATCAAGTACGTGAATTTCTGTAGTAGATAATATGATGAAAGTCAGTCTGTATTCCTAAATTGACAGCCATTATTTTGTGAACTCAGTCATTTGCCAATAAATCTTAGAGCTTTTATTGGCTTAGTTTACTGAGTTATGTATTCCCTAGGAACTTCATGAAATAATAATATACTACTTAAGGAATAGCACATGGTTACAGGGTGGGGAGGTGGAATCCATGCTTTGGGTCCAAGTTATTGAGTTCTCAACAGAGCTGCTTAGCTAAGTGATGGAGAGAGGGGTCTTAGAGGTGACTGTCAGTATGAAAATGGTTGAGTATGACTTCTTGCCAAGTGCAAAACATGTGGTTGCAGAAAGGTTTCCATTGATACTACGGTCAGGATTTTGTAAAGGAATAAAGGAAATTAATTGTCCAAAATGTTTTGAGAACAGACTGGCTAATGCTTCCAAACTCCTAACCCAATGTAGAACAAGTTGAACTTATTACATGCACCTAATTAAGTGTTCTGACTATATGCGTGAAAAATGATGGTCCGTTCTGATGCCAAAACTGCATACAGTAGCTACTGGAATATTGTCTGCCTTCAAGCTTGTGAGATTTTTGGCTCTAAATCCATCAGTATATAACGGAGGATTATAAGAAAGATGAAGAGAGACTTTTTACCAAGGCCTGTATGATAGGATGGGGGGCAATGGTTTTAAACTGAAAGAGGGGAGATTTATCTCGGATATAAGGAAGAAATGTTTTCCTGTGCGGGTGGTGAGGCAGTGGCCCAGGTTGCCCAGAGAAGCTGTGGATGCCTCATCCCTGGAGGGGTTCAAGGCCAGGCTGGATGAGGCTTTGAGCAACCTGGGCTAGTGGGAGGGGTCCCTGCCCATGGCAGGGGGGGCGGAACTCAGTGATCTTTAAGGGCCCTCCACCCCAAACCATTCAATGATTTATATGGTTGCAAAACACATGTATTTCAGTCCAGCTGAATATATCTGCTCTGTGCAGTTAGTTATTTTTAGCAAAATATACTCCTTTTTATGCCATTATAAAGCAGGCAAGCAATGTGCATGCTACAGCAAGAATACAGGACAGTAAAAATCTTTTCTAGACCTTCTTCTGTAGGTCTTAGCATTAATCTGGAAGTTCTGGAATTTTTATACCTGGAAATTAAACCTAGTAACAAGCTGAAGCTTAATACTTGTAAAATCCTGTGTGTTGACCCTGGTTTTTAAATAAAGTAGTCGTCTCCTGAGTCTTCAGTAAGTGGGTTTTTTTCTGAGCAATAAATTTGCTTTTAATTAAAAACTCAACTGACTCAAAATGAGATATTTCACTGTGATAACAAGATCCATAAATTTCTGAATTCTGCATTTTACAATAGTCTTTTAAAAAATCTTTCAGTTTTTATAAGACCAACAACGTGCACCGGTTCCACTATTCAAGACCAGTCAGAAAAGGATCTGTTGACCCTGAAAATGAATTTGCTGTAAGTAAATGAATGACAGGGTGGTGGAGGCAGTTCTGGTAGCTGTGACTGAATTTTGATCTAGATCCTTTCTTAGTGTCAGATAACTCATTACAGACACCCTAACTTTAGGATCCCATTCAAAAAAAAACAACAAAAAAAATTTCTCTATTTCATCACTGGTCCTGTGTACTTAGTGTTACATCACAGTTTCAATTGCAGGTAAACATTATGTAGTTAAGTATGGTCAACACATTTGTGTTAAGCAGTAACATTTTCTGGTACAGATTTTCATTATGAAACAAGATGACATGTAAGTAAATATCAAATGGTTTTCCTCTTGTAGTTTACAACACTTTTGTCAGCTGCCAGCTTGGCAGCGAGAGGTGTGTGTTGTCTGCTTTCATCAGTCCTGTGAAATCTTTCCAGACTAGAGTACTATGTATGCAATTTTTATTCCCATACATAATGGTGTAAGGCTGAGAAACAGTCTTCATTGTTCAAGTATTCTAGGAAGTCTGCAACACCGTAAATTATTTTTCAGTGTCATGCATAAAAATGTCTTAAGTTTCTATATTTTAATTTTACATATATCTGATATTTTGTAGTTTGTCATGAAACCCATAGTATCCAATCCTTATGGCTGAAGCTGTGCTCATTTCAGAAATGTACAATTTCAGTTATGTGCGTGCTGATCAATAGTGTCAACCATTACATCTAAGGAGCTTCTTACCTGCTGTTCAATTAAATACTTCAGACACAAATGCTACCCTGACAGCCCAGCACTATGTTATCAAAACTCATGATGCACATTGGCTTCTTTTGCAAACTGGAGAGTTTTGAAACCATTTTGAATATACCTTGAAATAGTTTTACAAAATTAGATCGTTAATGTTTTCATTGCTGCTGACAATAGACAATATGCATGCTTACTGCAGATAGGTGGAAGTTGGGATAGTTGGAGTATGTCTTCATTGCATTCATTATTATATTTCTCAGTACTGGCAGTTTAGATGAGCTGATATTGGTAAAATAAGGAGCAGCAGGGTAAATGAACTAGTGGCATTTTAAAATACCAACAGTTAGTCTTGCTATAAGAGAGAAAAAAGAATGCTAGCAAGTTGTTATAGGGCTATTACTGCTTTTAATTGCCAAAATACGTTTTGAAAATGGAGGGAGGAAGTATAATCTGGGTAGAGGTGAGAGCAGGTCATTTAGTCACAGTCATTCAGTCTGTAATGGCAAAATAGGAATAGATACTAGAAGATTCAAAGATAATTTTCTTTTTCCTCTGCTTTGTGCAGGCTTAGTGCCTGAAGATGACCTAATCATGAAATCAGAAAAATGATTTGTGCAAATTGCTCCTGGATTCATTTGGCAGTGTCCTTTTATGCAAGAAACTGCATATTTCAGAAGGCAGAAAAGATTAAAGTTTAAATCCTGAAGTATCTTTTTCTCCCTGCTCTGTTGTTTGTTTTTTTTTTTTTAATAGTCTATGTGGATTGAGAGAACATCATTTGTTACAGCATACAAACTTCCTGGAATTTTACGATGGTTTGAGGTTGTCTCCATGTCACAGGTGTGTATTAACATGTGAAGAACATATGAATCCTCATGTACAAAATTGTTTGCAAATTTATCTCACAAGGCTATTGTTATTTACTTATTTTTATACATACAGAACTGTTACTACTTATGTTTTAGCTTTCTACTGCTAGGATCCATATATCTTATGTCTGAGTTATAGTTTAAAGGACCAGTTCCTAAGAGAACTGAACAAATCTGTGTTGGTTTGCTGTATTGCAAGAATGATGTTCATATATGTGAAGTTTTATAAAACCAAAAAGACCTTTTTATCTCTTTATAAACCTTAGAAGTCTTGTTTCTTTATAGACTACAATCAGTCCCTTAGAGAATGCTATTGAGACTATGTCCACGACGAATGAAAAAATTTTGATGATGATTAACCAATACCAGAGTGATGAGAACCTTCCTATTAATCCACTTTCTATGCTTCTGAATGGAATTGTTGACCCAGCTGTGATGGGTGGCTTTGCTAAATATGAGAAGGTAAGAGCTTTTAAGTAGGTGCAAAGGACATATTCAGGTATATTATTTCATAATCCTCCTACATTCTTTGTTTAAACTGTCAGTGAAATGCGGGCTGGGAATGTGAAAACCGTAACTGCACCGATTAAGAGATCCTCATATCCTCGTATCCTGGTCACACCTGTCTTTGAAAGCAGAAACTAGAAACTTGAGTAACTGAAGCTGAGTACTAATTCCAGTTAAGAGGGTTTTCATGTACATGTGAGACAAGAGACCCCTTTTGTAATGAAATGGGCTCTCACACATCAATCAGTTTGGTCTGGAGTAAATGAATCAATCTTATCCTACAGTAGGTCTGGAGTATTCAGATGTGGGTTATCAATTTAAACCATCATCAGCTTTTCTCATTGCAGCCATTCTGCATAGCAGGTTTTGCTGTTTAAAATGGGAATACAAATACAAACTGGAAAATGGAATGTCTTGAGGAACTGAACTGTAGAAAATTTATCCCTAAGGCCACCTTGTGAAGTTGGGGCAGGAGAGAAAGCAGGAATAAAAAATACATAATTTTAAAATCTACATTATTAATTATTAAAGTTTTGGATGAAAATGAGTGTGGGGTTACCCCACAGCTGTAGAGCTCTGTTATTTCTGCCTGCCATTTCGTGATGAAAAGCATGTGCCATGCTCAGTGGGCTCAGCATGTCAGATACACTCATAGTGCTGAAAGATGCTGTATATATGTACACACATAAATTGTCAGATACACTCACAGTGCTGAAAAGATGCTGTATATATGTACACACATAAATTATATGCTGTAAGTATGACATATTCTGGAGGAGTGTGACTTAGGCTACGTTAGTCCTAAAGTATCATTAGTTTAGGTATTTGACAGTCACGGACAAATTGCTACATTCTTTGTTTGTACCTGGGGGATAAAATCTTTGGGAAGCAAAAGGCAGTGTGTGTGCAGTATCTGGCTCTGCTGATCTGTGATCTATGATCTTTTTTCAGTTTCTGTACTGTATAGCTGTAGCTAATGTCAGTAAGTATGGCACTTGAATAAAATGATCATTTATCAATGTAAATCATGATACTCCAAATTTGTGCCTTTTTAGTTTCAGTCCAAGCTTAATAAAACAAGCAGTAATTGGGTTTCATAGTAAGGCTCTTAAACTCAGAAGTGTTGGATAAGACTGAATACAGAACAAAAAAGAGCACCTCAGTTCTCAACTGATACACTAAGGAATTATTACCAGCAGCATCTGGTTAAGGAGCATGCGTATGTCTTTCATATTTGATGACCAATATTATGGTCTCCAGCTGGAGTCAATGGAGTGATCACTGTTTTCTTTACCTGTTGAAATGATGGACTGATTTTTTTTTTTTTTTTTTGTCTAAGGCTTTCTTTACAGAAGAATATACCAGAGACCACCCAGAGGATCAAGAAAAGCTGAATAGACTCAAAGACCTAATTGCGTGGCAGGTAACTTCTTACTGACAGTAGTCATCTAGTCATCTGAGGCTTCATCAGCTATTCCTTTTTCCTGTTCCTTTCTAGCAGGAGAACATAGCATTTAGGTGACTCTGTCATTTTTACTGGGGTTTTTTTGACGGTGGTTTGCTTTTGCATTTTTTTTTTGTTTTTTGTTTTTTACTGTTTCCCCAAAGCATGGAGGGGTAGAAAAATGAGAAGATTCTTGTTACAAACTTCCTGCCTAGTTCTGTGATAAATTAATAGTATTTTTTTGAGAAGGGACTCATGGTAAAATATTCTCTCTTAGACTAAACCTTCTGTTTCAGAGTATATATAGCTGTAAAAGGACTATTTGGTATCCTATTTAGATATTAATAGTTTCCCTGAAGTAGGAAAAAGGGCTTCAACTCTTTCAATTTTGATGTGCCTAACAGGAAGCATGTATTCCATTACTAACCCTCTAAGATCACTGACGAAACAGCATAATTCCCTACCCTCTGATGTGGCATGTGATTCATAAAAACGTTCTTGGGGATCTAAGTGATCCTGTGCTTCAGGTTTTTTTAAATCTGTGCCTAAACTGGAGAAATGGCATAATTACAAAAGTCACATTGTGTTTCCTGAGGAGTATCATCATTATAGTGTCCATTGAGAGTTAGATGAAATGGTACCAGCGTCAGAGGAATTACCCATATATCTCCATATGTCCTAGGGAAAGCAGTTGGCTGGAAAAGTACATAGCAGAACACATCATTTGGAATGGTTTATCAAACGCCACATATGGTGGGCTACATTTATGGTTAAAAGGGCCGGGATTTCAAACTCAGGTTGTATTCCTGGGGCCAAAACTGAGAGCATGACAAAAAATCATGAGTTGCTGGGAAAACAAGCATTTGCAAATGTCAGAAATTCCTTTGGGAAATAACTCTTTCCTTGAGGTGGATGTTCTTTGTTGGTTTTGGGTTTTTTTGTTTTGGTTTGGTTTTTTTGTAGGGTGGTGTTTTTTTGGTTTTTTTTTTTTCCTCATTAGAAACCTTAATGGAATGCTAGTTGCTCACAGGAGTTTTCATGCTCAATGACCCTTCAAGATTGCTGCTACATGCCTATTGTGTGACAAATGGCATAGAAGACTATTAGTAAACATTTTTAAGGTATATCTCCAGAGGAAAACTGAATATTCTGCCTACACTAGAAGCACTGAGATTATTTTCTATTATTTTTAGTGTACGTATGATAAATCACCCAACCTGCAGAACCCTTTTGTCCTCAAAGGCAAAAATGCACCTACAGGAGGTGGTAGCAGAAAAAAATATTTTTGCTGAGATTTAAGGGAAAATGGTTCTTTTCATTAACCTAAGCATTTATTATGATAATGGAGGGAAGAAAAACATGACCTCTGAAATTATCAATTCTATTTGCATTATCTAGTCCTAGTAGATATTATTGCCATCAGTATACTACGAGAGAAGAGATTTACATTTTTGCACATAGGTAGTTTAAGAAACCACTAACTGCTCAGTCCTCTGAAAGGTAGATGATTTAAGTGAGAAAGAAATGTTCGCTGTGCAAATGAATGGGCACAGTAGTGGCTAATCAAGGCATAATACAGTGATCTCCCTTTCAAGAGAGATGTTATGAAACAGTGTTGAGTTAATCTGGAATTTTACTATCAGAAGTGAATGGCTCAAGATATTTCTCATCATGTTTCATGTCTCATTCTTTGTACTAACTCACTAAAAAATTCTTCTTCATTGATTTAATCTTACGCCATCCTTGTGAAAGGGCTACAGTATCCTGGGCTGCATCACCAGCAGTGTGACGAGCAGGTTGAGGGAGGGGATTCTCCACCTCTGTTCTGCTCTCGTGAGACCCCACCTGCAGTGCTGCATCCAGGAAGGACATGGACCTTGTGGAGCGGGTCCAGAGGAGGCCACGAAGATAGTCAGAGGGTTGGAGCACCTCCCATATGAGGACAGGCTGAGACAGTTAGGATTGTTCAGCCTGGAGAAGAGAAGGCTCCAGGAAGACCTTATTACGGCCTTTCAATATTTAACGAGGCCTTACAAGAAAGATGGGGACAAAATTTTTAGAAGGGCCTGTAATGATGGGACAAGGGGTAATGGTTTTAAACTAAAAGAGGGTAGATTTAGACTAGATATGAGTAATAAATTTTTTATGATGAGGGTGATGAAACACTAGAACATGTTGCCTAGAGAGGTGGTAGATGCCCCGTCCCTAGAAACATCCAAGGCCAGGTTGGAGGGGGCTCTGAGCAGCCTGATCTAGTTGAAGATGTCCCTGCTCATTGCAGGGGGGTTGGACTAGCTGACTTTTAAAGGTCCCTTCCAGCCTAAACTATTTGATGATTCTGTGATTCTGTCTCTGTTTTGTAGATGAGAAACAGGAAAAGTTAACCATTTATTCCTCTCTCAGCCTTGAAATGAATCTTCCAAATAGTTTTAATGGATTTTTTGGTACCATTTTCTTAATGTTTTTGAAGTCTCTTCTCCTTTCATTTATGTCATCTCAGTTTGGTGATTAGTTTGAGTCACCAGCCTGTACAGCTTTCTCCTGTATTGCCTGCCACAGGCTCTGTATATGGTTGCTTTCTGACCATCAGCAGTACTCAGTGGATGTAGTGGTATAAATTGACTATAATACCATCTGGCATTGGGAAATGAAGTGGTAATTTATATCTATCCCTGTAAATCCCTCTAAAGAGGACAAACAGATCAGTCTGTAATAGATGGGCTTTACTACCATGGTTTTCAAAGTTACATTGAAATTGAACTTCCATTAAATACGATCAAGTCAATGGGTAGACCAATGTACACAATATTAATAGTATTTATAGGGTGAGAACAAAAAAAGGAAGTGCAGAATCTAAGTGGATTTTACAAAAAAGCCACGAACATTAATGCAAAACAGCTGAAAGTCATCAGAAAAGCAGTTAGAAAAGGCTACTGGCAGAAGGGTAGCTAAAAGTATGTTGCACTAATCTCATAAAATCATCATCTTCAAAGACTGAATAGTAGTGAAATGTCTTTATATTTTAGAGAGAAGGAGTGCAAAGTTTCTCTTTGTGAATAAGTTTATTATTAATTAAACAGCATATCCAAGTGTATTGTCTACTACCTTTGAAGATAAGACTTTTTTTGCTTGCTTTTAACCAGATATTGTTACACTAATATAACAGCAAAGATGATAGTAGCAATATAATAGCAAAGGAAAGGATTGTAGGGAAGAGGGGTTAGAAAGGTGTTATTACTGTCATATTTGCTTTATTATCAGCTTATTTTTTAAAGTTTGGTAAGCAAGCCATTCCTTCTGACAAAGGAGAAGGATTTTTTTAAAAAATTCAAGTCGGGGGGGAGGTATTTAATGAATGGACAGACCTGTTCCTAACCTTTTCATCAGGTGTCCTGCTTTAAGGGAGTAGGTATCTATACTTTCCCAACCCTCCAAGTTTTTAAAAACTACTGTTATGTATCTTCTTTCAACTCTAGTAGAAACAATCAGAGATCTTAACCCCTTTGGCTACTTGTCACTGACTCCAGCCTAAACGATAAGCAGCAAAAAAAAAAAAAAAAAAAACAAAGGAGAAAAAATGAAAAAAAAAAAAAAGGGAAAAAAAAAAAAAAAAAAAAGCACAGGAGTAAAATTGAGCAAAGACAAACTGGCTAGTGCAAGCTGCCTCTTTTCATGGCTTGAGTTGTTAATTTTTGTATTAATTATTATCTTACTGGATTTTTCTTGAAATGTGGGGAATACAGAGGAAGTCTGCAGAGTAAAATCAAGGAGAAAGGAAGTGGTCACCTTCAGTAACCAGACATTAACACATTGAATTGCTGCAGGAATTGTCAAAGTGATCACGTGTTTAAGCTCCCAGTAGATTGATTTAAACATTTCCCAGTCACTTAATCATCCATTTGGAAAGAGAAGAGTTTGAAACCCCTGCCTGTTTTTTTTGTCCCTACCTTCTTTCTTGTAAACTATGGCAGGCACCTTCATAAGCAGGTGGACTAGTAGTCTAAGAATTTTTTAAACTCTCGCATGATATGCTTAATCTCATAAGGGATTAATATTAAAATATGTAGAGGAGAGAAAACAGTCACTATGAAGCAGCCAACATTCTTCAAAAATTTACTGAGCAAGCCCATTTTTCAAGAGCCCTTTCCATCTTGTAGTTAACTGCTAAAAGCTGAGATCAGCTGACAAATCTGCCAGCCACAATAAAGAGTTCTGCAGTTGACGTAGCTGATACTTTAAAAGGAGCTAGAGGGATTGTCAGACACAGTGTAATATCCTCACTTTTTTTTTTCTTTTTTTTTCTTCTTCAAGATACCTTTCCTTGGGGCTGGAATTAAAATTCATGAAAGAAGAGTTTCTGATAATCTTCGTCCTTTCCATGACCGTATGGAGGAATGTTTCAAGCATTTAAAAGTTAAAGTGGAAAAACAATATGGAACCAGAGAATTGGTATTGCTGTCCTTTTAACCTCTCCTATGCTTTCCCTTTACTTAATACATATCTTGTTTTTCTAAACAAAAAAACATGCTAAACTTTTGTTGCTTGTGGGTTTTCTTGTGATCTAAAAGTAGTAAGAGCAGAGAGAGTCAAAAGAGTTAATTCGATTCTCTGATGTATCAAATATTTCTCATTCTGGAAGATTTGGAGTATTTTATTATGTCTATTAAAATTGCAATTCTTTTCTACCTTATTAAGGAAGTAAAAGCAAATTCTCATGTTTCTTCTCTTTGTAGTTTTTCTTAGTGGTTTAGGGTTTTGATCTGCAATTGATGTCTCCCTGTGCTAACCACTTCCAGCTGTGTTGTGAAAGCAAAACCTACCGTGTGTATAATACTATAAATATTAGTTGAGACCAAACTGAAATATATGGGAATTGAAGGATAACTTCTCAACAACCTCACCAGATTGTTCTTGAATAAAATAGTGTATCTGAGCTTGTGCAGGCTAGCAAGAATGATGTTGGCTGTTTTTTTGGGATTAAACACCAGTTGCTTTGGAAATTATTTTATGTTGTTGCTTTCAGTGTTGATTTTATAAGAAGATCTATTTCTTCTGTTACAGGGGAAAAAGTAGCAAGTTTCTAACCTAGGTTTTGGATATTGTTACACACTTCTATAATGAAAATTCTATACATTTATCTCAGTATGTTTTTCTTATTTTCAGTCCAGTGCCACCATTCTTGTAATAATGAAGAGGCTGTAATCCACAGTTAGCAATCTTGCCTAATGCTTGAACCCTTCAGTACTCTTACAGATCAGCACTTAAAGAAAAGCAACCTATCTAAAATTTTGCAAGAATAGAGAATGTACTTATTGAATGGCACTACTGCCATTTTACCATGTCTGACTCTTTCTGGTGGCTGGCTTGAGCTTTTTTACTAAACAAAAAGAAAAAAAAAAGGTTCTGCAACTATTGTGTCTTTATTACAAGATTCTGGCCATTCAAAGGATGAACAGCATGTGAACTCTGCAAAACATTTGAAAATACTTCTTGAAACTATAAATATTCACAAGTCTTCTGCTAGACATCAGGGTCTTATTTTTAAAAGTTGTTTGTATCCTGTTTGTAGGATAGAAATTGAAGTAGGCTGGCAAAGTAGTTTATGATATACACACACTGGGAAATTCTCAAAAACCTGCCTCATATCATGACGCTGTAATGAGCTAAGTAGGCAGAGGCATGCTCATCCCAGGAAATACCTGAACAGAAAAAGAGAGAAGAGCTGACTGCACTCAACAAAGCTAGAGCCCAGAAGTCACCTCTGAAGAAAGAAAACAGTTCTAGAATTAGCCAAGAAATGGGATCCCTGTCCCTGCCTTATTGGCTAGAGTAACAGGAAAGCATCTGGAAATAAGTCAGGTTGTTTCAGTTAAGTTTGTACCAGGCTTTAAAGCCTAAATAACCATCAAGATTAAGCTGAATATTTCTGTTTTGATAGCAAAATATTCTTCAAGAAGATTTGGAGAGAAATCTCCCTTTTCTCCTTCCACTGCAGAACATATCAACTTCATGCTTTACGGAGAGATAGTGCAGCACATATGGCATTGTGCAATATGGATACCTGATGACGTGGAGAATGCTCCTGTTCTTCCTCTCTGGCTGTTAGGGAAATATTAATTTTGTATGACATTTGCAAACACATAATTAAAAAGGCTATATGAACATACAGAGAGGGCAGAACCTGTTGTATTGAAGACACAGCGTGATTAGTGTCTTGGAGCAAGGTCTAACTAAATCTATCTGCCCAAGCAAGTACTTCAATGGCATCTTCCGGGTCTGTTCAAAATAAGATCAGCAGACGCTGTTTATTTTAGTTTCTTCTTCAAACATAAAGTTAATTATGTCAACTGTCGTTTATTTAGCTACTCGCTATATCATTGAGTTTGAGAGTTTCTAGAGCGTATCCAGACAGAACAAACAATCACAGTCATTCATGGTAGCAAGTAACTTATTTCATGACAAATGTTACTACTTCTGTGCTATCTTCAAGACATGGTGAAAAGGGATGAAATGAGGTTCACACAAACCTGTTTGATAGAAACTGTTTCTCTTTTCCATCCTGTAGCCAGATTTTGATGACAAGAGAGTAGGACGGCCAAGATCAATGCTGAGATCCTATCGTCAGTTATCAGTTATTTCACTGTCTTCCATGAATTCAGACTGCAGTACTCCAAACAAAATTGCTTCAGAAAGGTTGGTTATGAATACAATACAAATTTTATTACAGTCCGAGTTTTCAAACAGTTTTATGGGATGAAATGAAAAGATTAGAGAAAAAAAAAAGATATTTAAGGATAAAGACCACTTAGCAGTCTTTCCAGACTATGCCAAAAATATTTTTAACTGTAGCTATCACTTCTTCCAGGCTTAAAGCTACAATATTCCAACCTTAATAGCCAAAATATACTCAAGTCTCAGTGAAAAAATGTCATTTCATTTTCAGGAAACAAGTATTTTATAATTTAAATGACATTTCAAAAAAAATACAAAGAGCTGAGGTTTTTGGAAGTTTCTCTGTATACAGCTTTTAACTTAATTAGCATCTTTTTGATTGTAAAAATTGGAAAAAGAAGAAAGCCTTTACAAACTTACAAGTAAGGAGATAGAATGTTTAAGTAAAGCAAAACAGTAGTAATGTAATGCAAAATGCTTTGCCTAATGTGCTTTCTTAACTGCAAGGCTGGGAAACATAAAGAGTTTTAAGTTTAAGAGAACAGTTATAGTGCATTGATCAGCTTTTTCATCTGCAGATGGTTTTGATCACTTTATAAATTATCTTTTGGGCATACAGAACTTCTTCCAAAACAAGGCACATAAAAAATTGATCCTGTTGAGCTGTGTTTGATTGTGATTTTTTTTTTAACATCTGATCTCCCTTTTTGAGTAGTTCAGTTTTAAACAGTAAAAAGTCCGAAAGTGTATGACCCTAACTCGGAAGTGTTTCTTCTTAAGATACCGCTCTATTCTTGTGTGTTTGATAGCCAGTTCATTGTTTAACACTACTTAATTAAATATTTTGAGTTTAGTATCACCCATTATGAGATGCCCTAGGCTGCTCTTCCTGCCCTTCAACTTCCACTCTTCTTGAGTGTAGCACACAAACCTGATTTGTGGCATATCTGCCAGCCCCATGTCTCCTATGGAACCAGAGAACTATACTTAACCAGCTGAATCATGCACTTTTAATTCTCATTATGCTAATCTGTTTCTGGGCAGCAGGGGTCAACAAATCACCATACTAGTTGCTGTAACAATTTTTGCTGTAAAATAAGTTCAGCCCCATGTTCAATACATTAATTATGTCAGCAGAATCATAGAATCATTAAGGTTGGAAAAGACCTCAAGGATCATCAAGTCCAACCCAACACCACCTAACTCACTAACCCATGTCCCTAAGCACCACATCTACACGTTTCTTGACCCCCTCCAGGGATGGTGACTCAACCACCTCCCTAGGTAGCCTGTTCCAATGCCTGATCACTCTTGCAGTGAAGAAATTTTTCCTAATATCCAGCCTAAACCTTCCCTGGTGTAACTTGAGGCCATTTCCTCTTGTCCTATCACTTGTTACTTTAGAGAAGAGGTCAGCACCCACCTCACTGCACCCTCCTTTCAGGTAGTTGTAGAGAGTGATGAGGTCTCCTCTCAGCCTCCTCTTCTCCAGTCTAAACAACCCCAGCTCCCTCAGCCACTCCTCGTCAGACCTGTGCTCCAGACCGATAGCCTAATTTTTAAACTATAAAAATTAGAGGAAGGGAAGGAGGGAGATCTTGGGAGATATTTTTTTTTTAATCACTGGGTATGTGCATTGTTGTCCAATATGGTGAAATAAATAGGAGAATGCATTTACAACATGAGAATAAATAGTAATACTTTGTTCCACTGTGTTCAACGACCAAGGTAGCATGTCTTGGTTTCAGCACCGTCATCATCGTGCATAAACTTGCCATATGAGCCCTAACTCTGTTTAGTTTAGGAGTTCTTAAGCTAATGCACAAATTTTTTAAAAGGTTTTTGCACTCATATTAATATTTTACATTCTTTGCAACATTTTAAGACTGTGTCATACCTCCTGAAGGCATCTTATTTATATCTACAGTCGCCAGCTGAAACTCATCATACACTTTTTGCCAACAGTTTGCAGGGCTGCATAGAAGGTCAAAGGAAAGGATGACCTGCATTTATATTTAATAGGGAAATGACATCAGAATACCAGTAGCTTTTAAAGTATCACTCAGCAACTTGTACCTTTTTCTTTTGCTCCTGCAGCTTTGATCTGGAAATAGTGCTACCAAAGCCAGTAAAAGCAGAATCAGAGGAGGCTGTTCTGCAAATTAATCCTCACCCTGAAGTAAAGATGAGAAGGTCCAAAAAAAGAACAAAAAGAAGCAGTGTGGTGTTTGCTGATGAGAAGACGGCACCTGATATTTCGGTCTCTGACATGAAATGTGTACGTTACTGATTTAGAGTACTATTTTATAATCCATAAAGAAGAGGACATTACTCGTTTGCTTGGGAAAAGAAAAATATATCACACAGAACTCTAACTGTTGTAAAGGGAAATATGCAGGATGCAGAGATGATCTGCCCTGCCGTGAATAAAACCTGCAAGATGCTGAGGAGGAAACCAATCAATGGAAAAATCAGAAGATCTCTACTTGTTTATGATGACAGATAATATAGCCCTGAAGTTGCAAATTCTGAGGCTTGGTTAGCTTGAAATGGAGTGCTATATTGGGAGGGTTAAGCTAGATTTCTGTGGAGAGGCAATTGACTGTGCTGACATTTCATGGCAGCTCCTTGCAGTCAGGGCTATTTCAAAAGTGATGAGACCTGTAGGTTTTGTACCTTGTTACGGAATGTGCAGCTGTTAGGAAATTGCAAGATTGCAAACAGTGTTCCTTAAATGGTGCCAGACTGAAATTTGGAAGCACTGGCATCTCTCGCTCCATAGATCACCTGAGTGCTTTTATTGCACTGCTAGATCATTAGAATGACTTATATAACTTACATTGTGCTTTTTTTTTTTTTTTTTTTTTTTTGTAATTTAATTCTCAGGAGACTTTTCTTCTTTTAGTATAAAAATAAATAATTAAAATATTCTTCAAAGATGTCCTTTGATACACAACCCCTATCAAAATTAAAATGTCAGCCAATAACAGATTGTTGAATTACATGGACAGAGCATAAGTCATTTGAACAAAAATTTTGGAGGAATCATCACAGGCAAAATGAATAGAAAGGCAATAGAAAGCTAAGATTCTTTCTGGAAACAGGAGAAACTTATGGAGGATTATGATTGTTTTACACTACAGGTCCTCGTACAAAAGAGAGATACTCTGAGAATCATTAATATACAAAACCAAGCAACACCTTTGTCTTTTGGTTAAATTACATAACACGTACACTTAACTGTGGGAACTTCACTACATATTGAGTTACAGGATTTTCTTTTGCTTCAGAAAAGTAGTGACAAGCCTTGCAGCAGCTGAGCTGGGTATGTTAATACAATAGGGAAAAATGTTTTCAAAACTTTTTTTACATTGCAGATTACAGTCAGAGTGGCTGATGGTATTATTCCATAGATATGGTAGGAATACCATCCCACAGTTCCAGAATCTCTTCTGGCTGGCTCTTTGAGTAATGTTTTTTCTATGTGGAATGAGAAGTATTTATCTAACTATAAATCATCTGCAAAATCATTACATGTTTTTAGCTAGTGTATAATATTGTAAGCAGATCCAATTCTACTGCTTCTAGTTACTTTTACTGTTTACTCAGCCAACAATCCGATAAAGAATTTGAGTTAGGAATTATAGTAATTATTTTCTTTTATGCCTTCTGCAAAACATTATTTTGCTTAGCTCTTTGTTGCTCATACTCAGTTCATCATTAATGGCTTTTTTTTTTTTTTTTTAAACAGCTGTCAAGGAAATACGAGTTCATGAGTGACACCAACCTCTCGGAACATGCAGTGGCACCTCAGAAAACATCTGTCCTCAAGCAGATGAGTTCTGTCAGTCGTTCTATGCCAACTATCCCAGGTAAGACACTTACAGTAAGATAAGAGTCCTGCCCTTCTTCATTGCTGTGTTAAGAAAACATAACAATCAAGGGTTTGCTCCAAGCAGAGCAGGGAGCTCTCTCTATGTGGCTCTGTGCCTCTGTTTTGTGCGTGTGAGGCTGAACTGCTACTGCTGCTGGATAACACTGTGCTGCTCAGTGCTAACATGCAAATTCTAAAAGTGTTACTTCTGGAGCTCTGAATATTGCTTCCTTGTATAGTGCAGTCATTCCCCTGCCTTGAAAGAGGCAAGGTTTATTCAACTTCCTGGCTTTGTAGGGTCTCACTTGCAGAAGCAAGGGCTTCTGCAGTCTGCCCTCGCAGCTGAGGACAGCATTTGAAAGAGGAAGAAATGCTCTGTGCTTTGCTTTGGCAGATGAATATCCCCAAAGCTTGCGCCATAGCAGGGTTTCAACTTCTGCTTTTGACGTTAGGGAGAAATCTTAAAAGCCTCCCTCACAGCAAGAGGAAGCGGAAAGAAGGTAACATAACCACCCACTAGAAAGTCTGACAGTTGCATGATAGAGAAGGGGAAAGTGTAACTGAAGGTGCAACTCATTTCTAGGCCAGGGTGGATAGAGAAACTGTGCCCTCCTTCAATATCCTTTAACCCCTACTCCTTCCGTAGCACATCCCATTTCTTAGCCTGCAAATTCATCTATCCCTCTCATTGTTCCTATCTTTCCAGATGCCTGCAACAGAAGTTTAGCAGAACACAACAGATTGTCATGGCCCACTTCTTTTTCATGTATTTATCATTTTTTTTCATCATCAACCAGATTGGTTCATTTTTTTTCCACTATTAATTTCCAATGTAATGAAGTTTAGTGCTTCCTCATTACTTATTTTTGTATTCTAAGGATATAGTTAGATGAAAAAGTCTCACTTTTTTTCTTAGTAATTGCAGTAGTTTGTTGTTTTGAATTCTGCTTTATCTTACACTCTAACTTTACTTTTTTGGTTTTGTTTTGTGAAACCAATATGTTTCTATTCTAAGGATTAACTCTGTCCGTCAGCCCTGTGGGACCTGATGAAACAATTGCATCACATAGGTTGAGTCAACCCGTGTTTCCTTCCACCTCAGATGGTGACAAGAAAACTTTCAAAAAAAAGAAAGTGAACCAGTTATTTAAAACAATGGTAAGTTCTGTGTGTTTATCAGGAAAAAAAGAAAGTGTTACCTCTTCAAAAATTCTATAGTCTGAATATTAAGTCATTTTAATAGACTGTAAGATCAGAAGTCAAACACTTCGTTTTTTCTCTTGCTTCTCTCGTTGAAGAGAGGAGTGGAAGCTCTATGGGGAAGCAAAAATTTGTCTCTCTGGAGTAGGGAGGTACATCTTTGTGGTTAAAAGGCAGGCTCAGCTGTGCAGTTCTGCGTCTGTACCAGAAGAGGGCTCATTTGATCCACTGATTTTCTCTGCTTTGCTTTATATAACATTTATTAACAAAAGAGGAAATTAATTATTTCTTGTTCGATTTAATTACATCGGGCAGTTAGCATTAGCATCAGAGTAAGGTAAGCATAGTGTATATGGCAAAACACGCACAGTGTGAGTCCCTTTCTGATGTCAGCGATGCTTATTTGAAAGTAGAAATTGGCTTATGCTGGAGTCATTAAAGTTGCTTAAAACAAGTTGCCTTCCTTTAAAGTAGGAAACCTTTCACTAATTTCTGTGGAAATTGTGGAAAATGTGTTTGAAGGCAAAAAAAAAAATGTGTATTCAGTGCAGATATTAAGATTCAAAAGTTTTAAAGTTTTTGTATTTTTTCAGGTAGTGGGAAGGTGACATTTAGTGCAGATGCTGGTAGCTACTGATACACATACTGCATAAGCATTCAGTGACATTTGTAATATTTTACACATCAACTCTGCTGATTTTTTCCAAGCAAAGGTTGATTTTTATTCAAAAAAATATTTGTTTTCCTGGTGAATAGATTTCATTTTCATCCATTAGTCTTTTAAAAAATACAGATAGTGCCTTCAGGGACTGTAGAGCGACACTTAGGAAAATCTGCATTTGGATGTGTTCATAATATTTTTCTGGTAGGAACAAGAATAACCTATTAATTTGAAGTCTGTAGGATTTCACTTCTGTTAATTTATCACATACTTGTTCTTTTGAGACCCAGGAGTATCAGCTTTTCAGCATGATCTCATCCACTCACATCTAAACCTAAATAACATATAAATACAGAGGACAAATTGTTCTTTTTCACCAGTCTGAAAAAAGGACTGAGTAAAGCTAAAAATTCATTTGTATAGTGCTTCACAGCATGATTGGAACCATGTAGACAGATTTAAATACAGGGTTATGGTTTTGCAGGATAGAGACATTAATTCAAAATATCCAGGATTTGGTCAACATCTTTTCTCTCTAGCCACAGCTTAAGGCCACAAGCTAGTAATTAGTGTACATATTACTGAATCCAATACAGCAGTCATTTTAACATATGGCACTCTGTACCTCTTTTTTTTCAGCGCATTTCCAAAGTTCTAGAAGATGGAAAGCAGTCTGTGGAGCACCATTTCAAATCTTCGTCTACAGATCTGTAATTCATTCCATTACAAAACCACTTGTCAACCGAAAATAATTACATATACATATATATTCTAATTAAGACCACCGTCTACGCTAAGGAAAGGCACTGATAACATAGATGGCTAATAGAGAATATGAACAACAGTATTCATAGGCTCTGATAAGTTACTTGTGATACAGATATAGGAATAATATTTGAAGAAGGTACTATGAGATGTGTCCACCAGGAGATAGAACAAAAGTTTAGTGAGCCTCTAATTATACAGGTAAAAAGAGCTTTGGGTGTTCCCTGGTGCCAAAACTTGTTTCTGGGAAGAAAGATGTATTAAAAAGCTATCGGTGATGCTTACTGTATAATGTAAGTCAGATCCCGTTCTTTTCAAAGAGCACAGAAGTTATCATTTTGTGTAGCTTGTATAGACACATTCCAGCTATCTTTAAACTGTTGCTGGCAGTGTAGTCAAGGTAACAGATGGCTCAGCACAAAAAGGGCACTGACAATTTGCTCTGTGGCTGTAGCTGGATTTGCAGTCCTCAGATCCCTCCTCTCCTCCCACCACACTCCTCTGAATCCTCGATCTTTCTCAGGGTGATGTCCATGACTGTGACACCATATACCTGAGTTATTTTCAGAACAGCGGCTGTAAAAGTTTATTTACACATGTAGAAATTGATGTTAAATCCTGCAGTATGACAAACAAAAGCTGCATTTTCTGCTGTTCATCAATAAACTGTTAAAAATGTATTTTGCCTTGAACCTTTCTCCCTGAAATCTCTAGATATCATCGTATATAAGGTAATAGTTTCTCACTGACAGCAAATGGAATTCTACAAGTCCAAGTCTTCAGCTTTCAGAATTGATTTTCTGTGTCTCTTCAACTCATGAGGTAGAGTTGGAAGATAAAATGCATATGGGCATGAAGCTAGACAGCACTGCAGGTCAGCATCTAGGGGTTTTTTATTACCTGTTAGTTCTTTCTAAAGGCGAGTATGTTATCCAAATATGAAGGCTTCTGAAAGGTGAATGATTGATTTAATTCACTCATCCCTTTATGTTTCAGACACCTACGCAGGTTTCTATTCATTAAATAATATATGACCATGTATAGTGTTGTGGATGGGAGAGACTGGCCGTGTTGCCATTTATATGGATATGGAAAAGACAAAGAGGTTAAAATTATTTTGTGATGAGTGGCTGAATCAGTAGACAGACATCCTCAGTTTGTTCTAAGCCTAACTATTTCTATAAACACTTTTATGTTTGGCATGAATAATTTATTTAATGAATTTAGACTCTGTTTGCAAGTTGTCAGTGTGAAGCTGTTTTCTACAGAAATAATTAGCGATTGTTTTCTGTGAGAAGTTTGAAATGTTTGCCATTGGAACTAATGGTGTGCCAATAAATACTTTTCACTAGAATAACCATAGACAGTAAAACAAAGTGGATCCAGTTTTAACACTACAGTGTTTGTTGGCATGGATACTGATAGACTTTTGTTTCATTTGCTTTTCACAGCAACTTGATACCGCTTTTGAGGAAGCACAGAGAACGGAACGAGGCTTTTCTAGAAAAAAATCCTCAATTTTGTAGAGTAGTTTATCTGTGAGTAGGAGAAAGTGAAAGGTTGAGGGGTGCACATTTAACAACTTGCTAACCTAGGGGAAGAAGAGGGAGGGTACCCAGGTTGTCCTTCAGTATTATCTGCAAATACATTGAAGAAATATTGATACCACAAAATAAAAAGTATTTTAAAAGGAAAGGTTTAGTTCTACTAGGAATGAGTAAGAAAAGTATGGTTCAGCAACTGTTTATCCTTTGTAAAGCTATCTGTTAAAGGTCATCTTTTGCTTATTGTATCTTGCAGCTATGTTTTCATGTGAGAGTGGAATAAAAGAGTTTTAGCTCAAGCTGTTATTATAAATTATAATCAAAGCACTGTGATTCAAAATAAAAAAGTACAAAGAGTGGAAGGGAAGGAAAAGCCCAGAAACAAATACGAGGAAGGCAGGAGCACAATGTCCAAAGGAACATTTGTTTAGTGTTGAGTGTTTAGCTAGTGGTTCAAGATTCATGCTTGTGTTTTGTGCAGGTTTTAGTATAATTTTTGATGAAGAGATTAGATTTGCACTTAATTTACCAAATATCAGCAAAAAAAATCTTACTAGTTGTCCCCCATTACAGATTGTCCTCTTCTTGCCAGCCCAGTTTTCAATGTTTCAAGCCTGAAATCATGTAAATCAACTCTGAGCAAAAAAAAAGCAAAATTAACTAAAAAAATAGTAACTGCCAAGAACAGGGCATACATGGACCTGGAATTTTAAGGATGTTTGGACAACAAGCTCCAGCCATTCACAAGTTTCCAGAAACTGTGGATACTGACTTTTTGTCCAAATAAACAACATAGCATGAAGAACAAGTGATGCCCTGGGATAATAA